GCAGGACGCACGTCACGCCGCTGCTGCGACGCCATCGAGAGGGAGAGCGCCGGAGCTGGAGGAGAAAGAATGCCGCCGCCGCTAATGCGGGTGCCAGGGCGGGAAAATTGTGCGCATCGTGCGCGCGTGACCGCCATCGTGGCGGCCGGTCGGCACGCGGTTCCCGCCGAAACGCCGTTCCCGCCATTCTCAACGCCTGTGGAGGAAGATGTTCAGCCGTCTAGGTGGCATCCTGTCGCAAGAGGATGCCTGGCTCACCACCCAAGCTTCGAGTTCCTCACAGCCTCTCAGGCGAGTCATGACACAACGCACCTGGCCCTAAACACACACCTCACCCATCTTGCGTGCGCCGGGTTGTTGTTTTTGCGTGTGGGTTTTTGTTGACCGCTGGGCTGCTGAACGGGGTTTCTGACTGTGTGAATGTAGGATGAACGCAATGTCTGTGCTCGTGTGTGTGGTTACGGCATCGGGAGTGTTATCTCATGGGGCTGTTAATGGTTAATTCGTGTGTGTGTCGCGTGTTCCCTTTAAATATCCCGTGGGTTGCCGTGTTAATGATTCGCGATTGTTATTGTATATGAAGTATGGAGCTTCGCTTGCGATTAGTTACGTGTGACCGTGAGAAACTTTGATCGTTATTGTTGCCAAGGTATAGACTGTATATGCTGAGTGTACTGTATTACCTCATTGGGCGATTCGTGGGATTGTGTATAGTTGTTTTGCTCTCCACTCAGTTGGTACAGCTGTGTGCTGCAATGCGAGTATCTGACATAATGGGTACTGATGCGGGATGTGAAGTGTATTGTGGTGACCGTTGGGTATTTGAGACCGTCGCAAATTGTGAGTGCTTTTTCGACATTTGAGATGGTGACATGCTGCCATTGATTTGGTATGGTGATGTAGTGGAGTAGGAAGGTGCGTAGTACAAACAGCATGATTACATGATCACACAGACAGTACGGGTTATCTTGGGTCAGCCTGTAGTGAAGGCAAATACAGTGCAGGTTATGTTGGGGCAATTAAGCTGGGGTAGCCGTGAACGGCTGTGATTGGTTGGTGCTGTTGCCGGGGCTGGAGAGGCGTCTGGAAGTCTGGCGAGAAACAGGTGCACCGGTCACGCGGAGCGCCATTGGGACGCGGGTTAATTAATTGGGGGTGTAATGAGAGCGGGTATAAGAGCGGGAGTCGGAATCAACAGAGGGGAGTTGAGTTAAAACAGTTGAGCTTGGAGATGGGTTGAAGTTGGAGAGCTTAGGGGAGCTGGAGTGAAGAGTTGGAGTTGGGAGCTGGACGAGGCAAGACGTGGAGTTTGGAGGAGAGTTTGGAGACAGAGTGGGGGACAGAGTTTGGAGACAGAATTGGAAACAGAGTGTGGAGACAGAGTTGGAGACGGAGTTTGGAAACAGAGCGTAGAGAGAAGCTGAAGAAGAGAAATAGCCAGTAGTGGAGAGAGTGTAGCGATGGCGGAGCTGAAGACGCTGTGTGCGGCGAAGTCGCTGTGTGCGAAGACGCTGTGTGCGGAGTTGCTGAGTGCGGAGTCGCTGAGTGCGGAGTCGCTGAGTGCGGAGCAAGTGAAGTAATCGTGGGGGAGTGGAGAGACAAAGGTGGCGAGCGAGTCGAGTGAAGCACGGCGAGCGAGCCGTGGCGACCTGGATATTGTGGTATGTGGAGGACATGCTGAGAGTTGTAAATAAAGCGGTGTTCGAAGAAAGACAGAAGTTGTCCGAGTGAAATCGAACACTACACTTCCATACCCACATTCCCAGTTTCTGCAGCACGCTACTCCCCCCCCCCAGGTCCGCTCATTGCCCAACTTGAGCATTGTGTTCTCACCAGCCACGTCTCAACAGGAGCTTCACCCCCCCCCCCTACTCCACACCCCCCGCTCCCTGCATTTCTCCTCCCTGGCTCCTCCCCCCCTCTTACCTTATATAATCGCGTGTCACAAACAGCTCTCTTTGCCCACTACAGTAATTTTTTTTGCTGTGGTTGCCCCACCTGATGACGGAAGCTTGTGTTGCTTCCGAAGCGTCGTGATTTAATTTGATTATTTCTATTTTTTATTTTATTTTATTTTTTAACCTACGTGACTCTAACGAAAGAGCCAAAGAGTATGGATCCTTACAATCACGAAAACTTCAAATCTAGAATGATCGACAGTAATGATTGTGTTAATTGAAAAGGCGTGAGGAGCCTTCAAATTTACAAAGGGCTGTAAGTCGCAGTGCATATTATAACAATGATAATTTGTATCCCTTTTTAAATCTATTGCTGGATGAAGGCCTCCCTGTGCCGTGTCAATAGTGGTGTGTTGCTTGACCCTACTTCACCACGCTGGTCAGCGCGGGTTGGTGAAGAGTGCGCCCAACACCTGTTAAAATATCACCTACTACTGATGTTAGCCGTGTTCGGGAATCGAACTCAAGTTGCCCGTTTTATTGAAAAGTGCGCCGGCCATAACGTCACCGCACCACACCCACAGTCATTTCATATATCTCTATATATGAAGAAATAAAACTTGGAAAGGACATTTTCCATATTAAAAGTTCATTACTGGAAAAAAAAGTCCATCTGCAGCCCTAATTTAAATCTTGGCGATAGCTTTCAATGAATGCAGACGCCAAAATTGGATGTGGAAACTCTGATCCGGCGTTATTCATGGGCAGTGGCCACGCGAACTGAGTCACTCATGAAAAATGTAAAATAAAAACTGAAACGTGTGCGACGTAGCACGGAGAGAGAAGTGAATACTTTAAAATCACACCGTAAGGCCGAAAGAGAGGCGCGTGAATGAGAAAACACACGCAGGTTTGAAATACTGTAACAATTACTTATCTGTCTATTGAGAAAAGCCACCCTGAGTTGTAAGATTTTTTGTCAGGGGGGTGCTGCATTGGATTTATATTTTAATGTTTTCAGCTACTTGCTGATACAAGTGGGAGGAAACCGGAGCACCCGGAGAAAACTGATGCGCGCGACATGCCCATGAGTCAACTTGCCTTTTATTATTCTCCTGGCGAGCCATGGCAAGGTACCTTGACACTCGCGGGAAGGAAGTGTCACAACATTTGTGCGATCTACCAACCTCCGCTGCCTCCACAGGGCTCGATTATATTCGTGCGTAGACCCCACCGCCCGGATTAATTTCCTGCAAACTGTTTGAGAAAAGTAAGTGAACTTAGGCAAAACCACGTCGCAAAAAGGAATTGATGGCAGAGCGTCAAGAATAATAACGACTGAGTGGCAGCCAATGAATAGAACGCGTCCAAGTTGTGTGTACACAGGAATTTCCTGTTTGGATGTTGAGTTTGATCACGTGATCAGGAAGTTACAATTTGACATTCTCTGAGCCATGCGGCAGGGTATCAGCCATTACACAGAGTACAAGATGGTGGCACAAATAGCATCCCAGTGAAGACAGGTGCAACAGGTGCAACTGTTCATTGTGGGACTTTAAGAAGCGTTGTCTGTTAGTTCGTTTATGTCATAATACTGGGAATGCTGTTATAATTTTAAAATTGCCGTTATAATGCTGTAAATGTCTTTATAATGATGTTAAATTGTTATGATAAATATGAGGCCTAATTAACAACGAAGCCTGCCACTTGCCTTATTGTGAATGTTACTTGTAATTGAATAAGTCGAGTCAGACTTGTACCCATGTAACTTTATTGCAATCTTGAGAGCAAGGATGACGAAATATTTCATCCACAGTTCAGTGTTGTGTAGTGCTGTACATTAGGCTCTAGTATGGTGATTACACGATGTGCCCTTACTTAACACAGTAGCTTATTCTCTTGTATAGCTATTCAGTGCTAATGTAGGTGCTTGGTCCATCCAGGATCTATTGTTGAGTTTCATGTTATCTAAGACAATGTTATGATGCTGTAGTGTTCATTCATTATATTGATATTTCCATGTATTAACAGATGCTGTATTTGTGCTGTGTTTTTCCATCAGTTTTACCTCGTTTCATTAATTAAATACGTTGGAGTCGGATGTTCACCCTGGCTCTGAAGGTTTACTGAATGCGAGGTTATCTACTCAGTGGTGCAACGCAGCGCACAGCGTGGCCGGGACAAAAGTTGTACGTCAACCGAGGAGATGCAGCGATGAAAGACGCTTATGTACAAGATTGTTACATGTTGTGTGGAATGGTTTTGTAGTGGTTATCGCGCTGCGCTATGAACCCGGTAACCCAAGTTCGATTCCCGCTCACGGCCAACACCAGTGACGATTATCTGAACCGGTGCTGGGCCTCCCCTAGGTCGACGCAGCCTCAAATGAGTCCCTCGTGCGGTGTGAAAGCATCGCCACTGGCCGCTCACCCCCTCATGTGGAGTGCCGGCATTCATAGGTGCTCGCTAACATCACTTTTCCCAACAATCTGTTAAGGCTACACGGGGAATCTTTGTCTTCGGGGTGTTTTTTTTTTTTACCGCAAGGTTGTGAGAGGGAGGCGGCCACTTGGGGAGTCCTTCATCCAACAGTGGAATGATCACGACTGTTATTTACGTAGTTTACTGTAAAAATTCGGTCACAGTCCTTGTGATCACTGTTACGTTGCAATTATGGCTTTATTTTTTGGTGATTTCGAAAACGTTTTTTGGTTTGGACATGTTTGCTTTGTTGTAGTACGGAGTTAGACTGACGGCCTTAATCTAAGTTTTTGTGGTTGTTGTTGTTGTTGTTTGACTTGCATCCTACTGGGATTTTTTGCACACAGCGTTGGTGTACGGTGCTTTTTTCAGGAATATTTTTGCTGGTTTTTTTTTCCCCCATGGATTTTCTGTTTGCACAGTCACATAGTCACTTTAAGATGTTTTTCTTGTTCGTGTTTTTTTGTTTGTTGTGGTTGCACCCGATTCAAGAGCCGAATGGCTCACAGGGCTATACCAAAATAAACTGAACTGATGGACGATTAGGAGTGGCCACGCGAAAGAGCCCAGACCTCGAATCAGTGACGGACAGGGGGGGGGCACGCAGAGCCGCCCTGCGAGCGACTACCCCCGCGACTGCCCCGCCCGAGCTACCCCGCAGCTCAGACTCGTCATGACCATCGCGCCGCGCACGCTCGCTCAAGCCTTCGCGGCTCTGCTCGTGATTTGCGTTGTCACCAGCGTCTTCTACCTGGCGCTGCCAAGGTCAGTCCACGCGCCTCCGAGTCGACCGTCATGCTAAAGCCCTCCGTGCAAATCTGCGTCGCACGGTTATATTTATCGGTCAAGGTGTGCAGAGTTTCACGGCCGTGTGCTGACACTTTAACGCGCCGGTTAATTGCAGACTGGAACGTTGCGGGGATGCAACAAGCGACCCAGTCGGCAGCGTCGCACTCGGCTCGTCCTATAACTGCATTCAGGGGCCGATAGGTTAAAATAGTAGCTGGCCGATGGATGGACTGGCTCCAGCCACAGAAATGTGGAATTTCCACCACCCGCTGTAAACAGGGGGAGAGCATCGCCCGACACTAATTTGAGTGTGAAGCACGGTTTTTTTCCTTTATAAACATAACATAATTAAATCACCTATATTTAGCCACATGTATTAATGTGTATGCAATAGGAGAAATATGCATTGGCGTAGTAACAAAACATCGGATTCAATGATCCACTCTGACGATGTGGCCTCTTGACATGCACCAGCGATATTCATGTAACTAAGAACAGTAATAACTCGGCTTAGTCGAATACATATTGTCTTGTTATTATTCGTACACGTGTAAGAATGAACTGTCGTCTATAACAAACAAACAAAAAGTTTCTCTGCAGGGGCCGACTACAGGGTGTTGTGGTTACAGGAGCGCGCCCCTGAATGTAACAGGCGTGAGATATTGATAGGATCCGTCGCTTATTTTGCCTAAGCACTCTTACGCCGCGTCCCCTAGATGCGTCGAGTCGACCACGTAAAAGAGGACGCGTTCAACGCTGCTATTATTATTCTGTTATTTTTGGAAGGCCGATCGATTATGCCAAAGAACGTTTCAACAAGCATACATCGCTTATTGGAATAGAACAGAAACGTGATCGTGACACTTTAATGAATTATTGACACAATTTGCCGTTGTTTGGCGGTGTGATGCTACATAACAGCGTGGCGTGAATGCGCGCCTTTTAGAGCAAGTACGGTAGACAAGAATGAAGTGCAAAAATATTTGACCCGCACAAGCCTTTTGAGTGAACGCGCCAAATATGCAGAATTCTCAACAACAAGGCGGCCTGTGTCAGCATCCCCACCTGCAGCCCATCCCTGCTCAGGCTTGCAAGGGGGCAAGCACATCGATCAGAAATGAATTGGGACATTATTTGTGTTCATTCGGTGATGTCGCGTTTGGCAGTGGTGCATCGGCACAAATATATGACACGAAAGAAAAAAACTTACGTTTGCCAATGACGCTGCCCCAATGAGCAAAAATATATTCATACATAGTAGGCGATGTTTCGGGCAATCGCCCTTAGTTGTGGAGAGAAGGAGCCATTGAGAAACGACCATTGCCATAAATGTCGCCCATATATGTGTACTGTATATATATACTGTATATCCATAAGAGGTTTTTTTGGGGGGTTAGATCGCGTAAATATAAATGTGTCGTTAACCCCGCCACCACCCGACACAGCCAATTAGTAAAGTTGGTCACGTAAACAAAACATTCCAATTCGTTCCTAGTACAGCACACCGGTGTGTTGGAGAGTAAACCCACACCATTTACAATTCGAGTACGACGTTTCGCCAGTAATTACAACTAGCATCATCAGGCGACAGCCAGATTTGGCTGTTTATCCGTTTAGATCAGCCTTATTGACGAGAGCATTGGGATTTTAGTGAGTATTTTCTGATCATCAATCATCATCTTAATTATTACCGCTATGTTGCTATTTGGGGTTTGCGTGATGATTGTGTGCGCATGTGTTTTTTACACTGATAACTGCAAATATGGGCTACCGGAATCATGCCATGACATGTGTAATCACTAACAATTGCGTTAAACTGCCCACCCCCCCCCAAGGCACTCGTGCGTTATTAAACCGGATTTTCAAGTGTAGGCAAGTTAAGTTTCAGCCCCAACCGCCACTGGCCGAGTTGCCACGTATTTTTAAGAAGTGACACATTTTTTTCAATATTTTTTTGTTTGTCTCCGTGAAAGAAAGTGTTTTATTTATTTATATATTACGAACGTTTGAAGAGGGTCAGGGTTAGATCGCGTAACATATATAAATGTCGTTAAACCCGCCACCACCGGACACAGCCAATTAGCAAGATTTGTCACGTAAATGTGGCACATTAGGAATGGACCACTATTTTAATAAGTCCTTATGTGCTGTGCAGTACGTCAATGCACGTGTGTACACCAGCATGTGATGACTGAGTTGGGCCTGTGGGGGGCTGGGAGGGTTCATGATTAACCGGACGTGTACACCAGTCACGTGGTTAATGGCGACTCGGTGAAGATTGCTGAGACACCACGTGCTGTTGCATTTTACAGATTAACCACAATAAATGTTTGCCCTCGATTTGGAGCACCTGCCCAACGTCCTTCATTTCGAGTGTGCAACATAAACAAAACGTGCCAATTTGTTACTCGTTCAGCACACTGGTGTGTTGGAGAGTAAACCCACAACATTCTCCAGCGCATGGGTGTGCTGCACTAGTAACGAATTGGCATGTTTTGTTTAGGTGACAACCCTTGGCTGTGTCCGAAGGTAGCGGGTTTAATGACATTTATGTTTACGTGCTATAACCCCCTCCAACCGCCTCCCCCCCCCCTCTATTTCACTTCTATATTTACATCTTGACTTAAAGATTTCGTGACTGCAGGAATTCATATTCTTTGGGTCTTTCGGTAAAGTCACGGAGATGAACCATCTACGTGACTTCACCGAAATAATACTATATTTACCCAAGAATGTCAGTGTGTAACGTGCGTGACGTCACTCCACGTCGACCATTCCCCCTCAATAATCATGAACAGATTACGTCCTCCACATGGACCCCCCCCCAAGAATAATAATTAGCAGCTGACGTCACTCCACAGGGGGGGGGGGGGGGGCGAGGCGCCTCCTCTCCCCTCCTCGGCATCAACTTACAACCCTCGCTACAAAAGCAGAACCCTCACGTCACGCGATCTCCGTAACGCTATTGAGACATAGAAGTAAATAGGATGTCATGATGAACAAGGGATTAAAACTTTCAAATGAAATAGGTCTGTGTCACCGCACCCTTACAAATTGCACACGAATGGATGCAATGAATATCACGTCGCGGTCTGATTTTCGCTTGCAAGTTTCAGATTTACTGCAATACACCCGTCCTTTGATGGGCAAAAGGCTAGTTATGGATATTGATCGTGAAAACCAACCTTTGAAGAGCGATCCCATCTCATCGAGCAGTTGAACAGTACCAGCCTCAAAGGATTCCAATCGACGCTGTCTCCGGTCCTCATCCCACGGTGATCCTGTTGCTGCTGCTGGATCGGTCAGCGCGGTTTCACGTGGGACGCTCCAGCCCTAAGCATGTCAAACCGGTTTTCAGTGGCAGATATTCGGGATCCAACCTTGAGTCCGAGTCAGTTTTGTAACATACTTAAAACTGCGTTTTTTTTGTCTTTCAAAAAACTTACTCTGTCGTGACCAGTGCACATTCCTGATGAACTGAACTCTTAAGAGTACGCGATAACAAGTGTTCTGACTAGCTATAGGTGTAACATTGATAGGTGAGGCCCATCTTCATTCGGAGCAGTTCTACAAGGCAGGGTCCTGTACTGTCAGTTCACTCACAGTTCTACAATGCAGGGTCCTGTACTGTCAGCTCACTCACAGTTCTACAATGCAGGGTCCTGTACTGTCAGCTCACTCACAGTTCTACAATGCAGGGTCCTGTACTGTCAGCTCACTCACAGTTCTACAATGCAGGGTCCTGTACTGTCAGCTCACTCACAGTTCCACAATGCTGGGTCCTGTACTGTCAGCTCACTCACGGCATCACATCAAGCGACATTTTTAATTGTCTTGTCCCGTTAGCAGAAAAACACCCCCAAAGCATAATGTTTCCACCTCCATGTTTGACGGTGGGGGTGGTGTTCTTGGGGTCATAGGCAGCATTCCTCCTCCTCCAAACACGGCGAGTTGAGTTGATGCCAAAGAGCTCCATTTTGGTCTCATCTGACCACAACACTTTCACCCAGTTGTCCTCTGAATCATTCAGATGTTCATTGGCAAACTTCAGACGGGCAAGTGTATGTGCTTTTTTGAGCAGGGGGATCTTGCGGGCGCTACAGGATTTCAGTCCTTCACGGCGTAGTGTGTTAACAATTGTTTTCTTGGTGACTATGGTCCCAGCTGCCTTGAGATCATTGACAAGATCCTCCCGTGTAGTTCTGGGCTGATTCCTCACAGTTCTCATGATCACTGCAACTCCACGAGGTGAGATGGCAATGGTCTTGTAGCCTATTCCAGTCTTGTGTAGGTCTACAATCTTGTCCCTGGTCTTGGCCATGGTGGAGAGTTTGGAATCTGATTGATTGATTGCGTCTATGGACAGGTGTCTTTTATACAGGCAACAAGCTGAGATTAGGAGCACTCCCTTTAAGAGTGTGCTCCTACTATCAGCTCGTTACCTGTATAAAAGACACCTGGGAGCCAGAAATCTATCTGATTGAGAGGGGGTCAAATACTTATTTCCCTCATTAAAATGCAAATCAATTTATAGCATTTTTGACATGCGTTTTCTGGATTTTCTTGTTATTCTGTCTCACTGTTCAAATAAACCTACCATTGGGCAAATGTACAAGATCAGCAGGGGATCAAATACTTTTTTCCCTCACTGTATGCCTCCACACCCTCCCTACGGACAAGAGAGTGCGTAGTATCTGCACATAATTGGTGGTGGGGCGAGGAGAGGATATCAGTGGGGGCGACGGGCGAGGTGCGAATCGGCGGCCATAGGCCTCAACAATTCTAGTCTGAACAATAAGCTCACAGCTCGGTGGACTTTACCTGGTTAAATAATAAATAGTTCATATTTATTTAACATTTTTATTTCGTGATTATTTTGCTTACCTTTCCTATACTTTGCACTACTGTCGTGTTTTTGTATTGTTTGTTGTTGTTACGTTCTGACCTGCCCCGACTGGACATCTGTGAAAAATGTCTTTATAGCTCATCAGATTCCTCCGGTATAAATAGAATAAATATTCTGAAAATATTCTGAATATTTTGGACGCTAAGGGTGGGTCGGGAATCACGCAGTTGGGTCAAGGAAGAGAATGAAAATACGTCCGTTAGTCATGAGGTATCTGCATGCGCGTCATGTTTACAAGATTTCAGGGGGCCATAACGCATTTACCAGTAACTTAAGAACATATTGCCAGATGCTTCAATTAATGTGACGTGCGTTCCACCCACCAAGCCCACATCTTGTAAAAATAACAACCCTACAAAAAGCGTGTACTCTCAGGGTGCAGCGATGCATTGCGATACACTCAGAAAACCAACACTCTCAGATGTACTAATTACTGGGTGCATGCAGCACGCTCATATCGCACATGTTACCCAAGAGCAAAATGAACACGTGGCAATGGCTCAGCCAAGTTAGAAATGCACGAACACTGCACTGGCTCTGCTCAGCTCTGTGACTCTACACGCGATCCCGAACTTTTGGCCAAATCTGGAGAATTTCCACAGCTGTTCTGCGTGCTGTAAAGCCACTGTTCTTATGTGTCTTGTAACTTCCCTCTGGCTCTAAAAAATCCGACTCCGTTCTCTACCACTTCCCTTTGGTTCGACGTTCTAATCCAGCAGTGGCCTCCGAGCGCGATGATTACATCTCGTCATCGCTCCTGCTGTCTTTCTGGCATCGCATACAAAATATCCGTTTCCTTTATCTGTTATAGACCGAGACAAAACGGGCACAAAAGTGTAAAGAAACACTTAAAAGGCTAAAACATATTCCGGTAATAAACTTATAATGTTTACGACACCTCCGATGACCACGGTTGGCTACGTACGATGCAAAAGAAGTTCAATATACATACTATGTGGGTGCTTTAAAAATAAGTAAAGCTATACTTTAATTGTAGTTTGTTACGTGATTTTTCGTTAAGCATCATACACGTGAAGACAAGTGATGTGTGGTGAGTTCAATGGCTGGGGAGGCACTGCCTAGTGTCAGAGCCAGATTCACACACTGAGGGGGGGGGCGTGGCCTTACTGAGGGGGCGTGGCCTCAATGATGGGGGCGTGTTAGACACGTCCTCCTCGGTGAGGCGGATGTGATAGCTGCCTCCCCTGGTGCTTTTTCATTGCAGTTTCATGACGAGACCAGCGAGCCTAAATATCTTTATACACATACGTGAAATAAGTTACCTGGAGTATGGAAGGCGAAGACATGAAATGAAGGGGTCTACAAACATTACATTTGTGACATACTGAGATAGTAACAGGCACGCGCTTATTTCCCGCGCTCCATCCAGTTACTGAGGGGTTGCACAATCATAGGGGAGGCTGAGCTCGTCGCTGCCTCACCTCTCGTCTCTTCCTGTATTTGCAGCGGAGTTCCGCAAATTTGGCGATTTTTACTATAAAAAGTATTGGAATCGTACAGAAATGACATTTATAACACAGATCAGTGAAAAATCTTAATATTAATTCTATTTGATTTTTCTTTTTTTTTTACTTTTCATAACAGCTATTTTCATTGAAGTATGACAGGTGAGGCTCTGCCTCCCCTGCCTCCCCTGACCGCACGTCCCTAGTGAAGACAGCACACACGTTACGATGGTGTTCAAGGTTAAAAGATACGTGCATTGTTCCATAGCTCATGTTACAGGGTGAGCTTGAAGCCATGGCTGTCAAGAGCCAAATAACGAAAAACAAACTCAAGCAGACCCGCTTCCATGTTCTATATAGAGTCACTTGTTAGTGAATAGTTATGTAACCTTCTCATCCTCTGGGTCCATGTTCTATTTTATTTGAATCTGTTGATCGGGGTTTACGTAACTTTTAATTTCAACAAGTACGTGACTGATTGTACCGAATGCTATTTTAAATGTCTTCTATGATACAATGTTTAGATTTGAGACATTACCTGGCTGTCTGGTTTTGGGGCCCATGTTGCTTAATTCTGAGTCCTGTTTGAAAATCTACAAATTTGGAAAAGTGAGGTCTTTGATAAAATCCATAGACAACGATCTTTGTTAATTATGTATTTTATTAATTAACCAGACGTTAAACGTTATGGAGCTTTTCATTCTATATAACCTGGCTCTATTCACAGATATCAAATCTTTCGGCTGACAAGGTAAACAACTTGGAATGTCAGAATCGAAAGTGCAAATGAAGTGTTGTGGATGTAATCAGGATGCCATGATGAGATGGTGGTTAAGATGGGTGAGACCCGTGTGCAGGATAACAAAGGGCCGCTTACTGAGAGGCATTGGAGTGAAGTGGTGCACTGGCAGTGATGGCAGTAGTGATGATGATGACCATGATGATGCGACTGTGAGGACCTTGCAGGTCGAATGTCAAATTTACCACAGAGGCAGAATCCAGCAGAAGGAATCAATGTTGAGGTGTGGTGGCACCAATGGCATTGTCCATGTTGACCTCTTGACTCGAACTGGCTCTACAAAACCATGTCCTTGTTTACGTTTCAATATTTTACCCAAAGCAGAGCCATGCATAATCTGTTTTCCTTTCTCTTCCTTGTTGTGTTTGTGAAAACACTAGTGCACAGCTGAGTGTTCCAGGCCTCCCGGTGCCATGGTTCACAGACATCGAAGCCAAAAGGAGCCAGTGGAGAGATGCGAGGAACTGGGTGTTTAAAGTCCCGGACGCAGCACCAAGCCCACAGCAGGCAGCTCGGCCGATGCGCACTGATGTCGTCTTCCTGAAGACTCACAAAACGGCGAGCAGCACCTTCCAGAACATACTGTTCCGCTTCGGCGAGAAGCACAACCTGACGTTCGCCTTCCCCATCAGGACGTACCAATTCGTCTACCCGGGCCCGTTCATGGCCTCATACGTGGCTCCTCTGCCACCGATCGTCGCTGCCGCCGGCGGGCACTTCCACATCCTGTGTAGCCACATGCGCTTCAACATGGCCGAGGTGGCACGCGTGATGAGTCCCAACGCCACTTACCTGTCCATCGTGCGCCGTCCCGAGAGCGCCTTCGAGTCCGTGTTCCAATACTACCAGAGCGTCGTGCCTGCTTTCATCGCAGCGAAAAAAGAAAGTAAAGGCAATGACCCATTGAGGACTTTCCTAGAGAAGCCTGAAAAGTTTTACAATTCGCCAAAGAAGCCCCCCGCTTTTGTCAAGAACCCAATGGCATTTGACTTCGGGTTGGATTCCAACGCTGCCGTTTCAAGTGATAGTTTCCGTGCTGGCTTAGCACGGCTGAACACCAAGTTCGACCTGGTCATGATCACCGAGCGTTTTGACGAGTCCGTGATCTTGGCCAAGGAGTTGCTGGGCTGGGAGATGGAGGATGTGGTCTCCCTGTCTTTAAACAGGCGCGCCAAGACCCACGGCAATAACTCGGTCGAGCAATACGAACCGCACCTGTACGAGATGATCCGGCGCTGGAACGCGCTGGACGTGGCTTTGTACGAACACTTCTCGCATCGCTTCCAGCGCCAGGTGGAGGCGTTTGGAGTGGAGCGAATGCGACGCGAGGTGGACGCCCTGCGCAGGGAGGTGAGCGCCCGCAGAGAGGAGTGCGTGGCGAGCGAGATGGGCGCGCGAAAGATTAAGCAAAGGGAGATCAGGCCATTTGTGTTCGGCGCAGTGGATATCCTGGGCTACAACATGAGGAGCGGCCTGGACCCACGAACACGCGAGCGGTGTCTCCGGATGCTGCTGCCGGAGCTCAAGTACCACTCGCGGCTCTTCCAGCGGCAGTACGGCACCACAGTGGAGAAATACCAAAAGAAGATAATTCGCGTTAGAGGGAAGCACAGGAACGCTTTGAAAATCAACGATTGACATCAATCCACAACGATTGACATCAATCCATGTGCATTGTATATTTCATGGCTCTTCGTTGCTGCACTGCCCATTGTAATTTGCACAGGTTGATTACTTTCAAATATCAGAATCCAAGCACCTGAGCACAGCGAAGGAATCAAAAACATTTTGACAGAAGGGGTCCGAGATGTGGTGACGATGATCTTTACCTCTCGAGAGTGATTCAAATCTCACCAGCAGGTGCGTCTGTGGCCATTTTTTCTTGGGGGGGTGGGTGTGGGTGAACTCTCACACAAAATTACATCATTAAAATCTGGCCAGTTATTACCAGCCAATGCTATCAACAGGGGCAATTCTGAGAAATGTGCTGTTTGTAGGTTTATTCGGGAGCGAGAAAATCGAGGTCGGCACCACCAATAGATGAATCGGTTGGCGGTGACCCAGGTCACCATCGTGACCCGGGGGTGCCAAAACCTCCATAACTCCGAAACCAGAAGGCCTATGAAGACGGGAGATGTCACTGAGCCCGATACGCACGCCAAATATGGAAATAAAAAACACACGCAACACCCATAAAAAAGGGGGGCTGCTGGGGATTTGTGCGTAGCAACAGCTGTTTATTGCTTGTTTTGAAAGTACATCAGGATGCTGGTCTGGTCATTCCCCGGCACGTTCTGCTTCTTACGGGGGCGGCCACCCTCCTTGTCTTTGTGAGCGAGACCACTTGGAGGCAATGGCGCACCAGGCGCTCGCTTGATACGGCCGGCGGTCACGGTCGTGCTGGCGGGATCGGCATCGTCGTCATCATCGCTCCCAGCGTCGCCCTCCGGCAGGACAGGGTGGCAGTACCAGCGATGCTCCCAGAAAAAAACCTTAAACTATGCCTGGCCCACCAATATTTTGCGGTGACCCGGGCTACCGCCAATCGATTCAGATGCACACGCGCCCTGACAATTGCTCTATGCTTGTGGTACAAAGCTCTGCTAGTTTGAGCTGTCGGGAAGTCGCACCAGGATGACATGCTTCATGGGAGATGCGTGTGTGTGCCCAGTGCACACAGTCACCCTGATCAGAGCAACCTGATTCCTGCTCACCCTGCGTCCTGCCATGTAGCTCCAGGAACACTGTTGCAGCACAATCCTATTTCAGCTACACCATCTCCACAACAAATCACGTGCAGTTTTGTCTCTGACATGATCACGGCGCTGGGAAATGTATTGGGTCTGCCCCCCCCGTTTACGATTGGCTGGCGAAATTAAAGGACCTACGGCAAACTGATACGTTTTTCTGTGCTACGAGGATGAGAATCGCGTGGTTGACAGCAGGTGAAAATCACAGCCGTAATATCTTGTGTCACTTTGGGAGATGACATGCGGCCACCCTGATTATTACTGTGGTGTAATAACCATCGCACAATGGACATTCAAGACCCCCTGCTGTAATTTGCAAGAGTAGGTCATTGTGTGCCAGCATCAGGATCACAAATTTGCCAAAATTCAAAAGTTACCCGCAAAATTACTGAATTGGGATTGCACACAGTAACCATTGCCCCCCCCTACTGACATACTAATGCCCCACTTATCTCTTGCAAATTATACTATGATGGTCTCTTAACGTCTCACCTGGTTGAACAAAATAAACGTATTTTAGATGTCTGAGCAATTATGTGAATGGTGCTTGTAGGGCAGTGGTTCTTAACCTGGGATGCATGCACCCCCTGGGGGTGCAAGATATCCTTTGTGGGGGTGCTAAACATGTCAGATTTTTTTAGAAAGTAAATAATCGAAACAAATTAAGCACGGGCCCGTAAGTAGAACTACTTTGTAGCTGTATTTATGAACATATTTTTTTTACGATTGAGAACCAAAGGGGTGGAAGGCTGCAGTAAAGGTTAAGAACCCACTGTCCTAGAGTAAGTTTTGTATCAAGCTGACTTTTTTGCATGGCTAAAATTTTTCACGGCACTTTAGTTGCAATGATAGAAGTTAATTTGACGTGTTCTGATTGCTATTATTAAAATAATAATATGCCCTTTTTCAATACACTGCCTCCCCATGCTCAGTTGCTCTGTTGGTCATTGTTTGACCATACTTCGCCATGCTAGTCGTAATTTGTGCACAAGTTATATGCAAGAGAATTCGTTTATAGTAATGTAATCTCATCAATGCAGCTTCACATTCGTGTCAGACAGCTCACTGGCCTCAATATGGAAAATACTCCAAAAATCCATCGGCAGAGATTGTAGCAATTTCCAAATGTTATGTAAATTATCTCATTGCCTAATTAGTTCTGTACATAGGCCCCAGGATAAGACAAATATGACATATTTGAAAAAAATTTCCTTTAATCTGACGCTGATACCATGCCGTCGGCATGCACTGAGTCTATATATGCTAAGGCAAAGGAGGCCCAGGTGAAGTTCAGAGGGAAAATTGTGATTTAATGAGGTGCCATGGGAAAAAACGCGATCACACACAGTGCATTATTGGGAGAAGACGAATGAGGTGAATGATTCGAGTGAATTATGAAGGTCATTACGCCGCAAACAGTATGATTTTAAAAGATCAAAAGTGGTGTGTAAAGTGTTGCAATAAAAGCGGAATGGGTAATGTTAAACCATTTGAGCAAACGGTTTTGTAGAACATGTACAGCCCTTTTTGTTGTCAATTCATTGCTGGTCATAGGGGTTATTTGACCATACCTCACCACGCTAGTCCATGCGGATTATCGACGTTTGCGGGGAGCATACACGTGGGAACAGTATAACAAAAATATTGCGCTAAAAACGTTTGTGGGACACCCATCAATCGATAGTAAACAGCCACTGGTGTGCGCGTCTGTGCAATGGAAACCTCTCCGAAGGCAAACACGGCGACACAATCTGCTCGCGATACGGCCTCGGGTACGCGGTGCCCGGAGCCACGTCGTCCGCGCGAGCGATTGCCCCCATCGTGAGGGCCTCTTCCAGCTGGCACTCGCTTCCAGCCCCCCCCCCCCCCCCAATGTGAGCTGTTAACAAGAGCTCGCCAGTGTCCGCCAGGGTAAACAACGTGGCGCGACACTGAGGGCGGGCACTGTTTGCTCGACTTGGGCGACCTTCACCGTGTGCACCGTCTATAGTCAAGGGCAGTTCGGCAAACGTCGATGCTAGCGCACACGCGCGCGTGATATATATACCGAGCCGTCATGTGTGTAACACCGCATCAATTCATTGTATAGAATTGGTTCTTACCAGTGTTTAATTCCAGCGGAATGTCGTTCTATCTGAAGGAGAGTGTGGTACTAGGAGAGTGTGGTTATTACATGGAGACTAAACCCAAAAAAGAGACACTGTATACAGCTCTTGCATCGAAATCTACCTATGCCGTGCGTTTCTGGCTGTCTTCACGTTGCAGGTTTCACTTTGTATTTTGAAAAGGTTACGGGAGCGACGCCGCAGTAACCTCACTCGATTACTGCTGACCATAAATATATATTTTATTTTGAGTGGGGACAGTCACAGAGGCGGAATTTGCTCTGCAGAAAACTGCTTTTCCAGATCTCTGTAATCTGCAGGGGCCACAGAACCATGATGGCCGCATGACGGTCCACCAGCTCACCAAGTCAAATCAAGTTTGTTTCCTTTGACCATAAGGTGAGAACTCAAGAGACCATGGATAGTCTAATTTCCATGCAAGAGCGACAAATGGAAGGGGGGGGGGTGTTTACCAAAATCACAGCGATGAAGCAAATACACGCTCACGCGAATACAAATGCGTCGTCTCATGAGAGATAGAAAACGTTGCACAACCATAAAGCAGCGTTGAATATCGAATTTCCCGTAGGGCGAGTCGGCTGACGGAGCGACGGACATTACAAGCCACGTGGTTTTTCCCCCACGAGCGCACCCCCCCCCCCCAACACCGCACACGCCTGCCAGGTTACATTTTGCGCACCAAGACCCAACAAATGTACTGCACTCCGGTGCGCAAATAATTAAAGCATATTGACGGTACCGTAATGTGTACATTAAAGACGGGTTTTTTTTGCATTTGCTTGGCTTTAAATATGCCTTTGTATATTTAAACGCAGAACGTATTTAAATAATATGACATTCTTGCGTATGGTGCCAATGTATTCAGGAGCTTATTGCCAATGTCTACTATAGCCGCGACGAGACGGCTTCAGGAGAGACTTCGTGTAGTTTTGCTATTCCTCTTCTGTTTAAGGAGCGCACACTACAGCGGTTTTACTATATGGTTCATACCTTAGGTTGCATGGCCCCAATCGTAGTGGCTTGTCTTTAATTGTCCAGTTGTCCATGTTGATTGCGCACGGCGTATTGTCACAACAGTGGAAATGAATAATAAAATAATAGGGGTTTTCCCCTTTTTTTCTGGCGACAAAACTGAAACCTTTTGCAAGGAAGCATATTTACATTAACCACAATACATGCAGTCAGAGTGCAAACAAAAAAACAACACTCTGATACTCTTTGGTTCTTTCGGTAAAGTCACGTAGGTAGAAAAATAATATATAACGACGTTTTGATCCTGCAGTCACGAAAGCTTCAAATCAACACTGATAATGTATGCATTGTCCTTGAAACTGATTGGTCCACACCAGAGACAGCTTTCCTTAGAGCCGGTGTTCGACCAGATGACGCCAAAAGGCGCACAGTTCAAAGACAACGCTCTATCAGAGTAATGAGGGCTCGGGGTAAGCATCTACATCATGAGGCCTCCTTTGCCAGTACCAAAATATAAGAATAGGGTTTTTCCCCTTTTTTTCTGGCGACAAAACTGAAACCTTTTGCAAGGAAGCATGTTTACATTAACCACAATACTTGCAATCAGAATGCAAACAAAAAACAACACTGATAATTTAGGGGTAAAACTAAAAAAAACTCATTACATTTTGGTACTGGCAAAGGAGGCCTCATGAAGTGAATAATACAATTGTTGCTACGTGAACGCTTTTATTTTAATGTTATATAATTTTGCACAATTAATGTATGATTAATGTAGCCATGCAAGTCCGAGATGTAAATGTATGTAGCTGTCACCATCGTCGTCAGCATCAGCCATGGTCAATTCAATATATGCATTGTCTTTGAAACTGATTGGTCCACACCAGAGACAGCTTTCTTTCGAGCCTAGTCAAAGACAATGCCACAGATATTATCAGAGTGATTTTGTTTGCATTCTGACCACAAGTATTGTGGTTAAAGCAGACATGATTCCTTGTAAAAGGTTTCAGTTTGGTGTTTTAACATCTTAACACCTGTTTTGTTGCCAGAAAAAAGGGGAAAACCTATTCTCATATTTTGGTACTGGCAAATGAGGTCCCATGATGTAGTTATGCGACTGGTTGTTGATATATGTTGATTCCTGCTCGCTTGTTGCAAGTTCAAAAGCAAAAGTTTAAACACGAGCAATATCGGCTTCCATCACGAAGATGCTGCCATTCCTATTGCAGCCATTTCACCCATTTGCAAATTTTACCATAAATCGTAAAGTTTCCATGATATTGCAGTGACATCGGTTGATACATTCGTGCCATTACGTAATGTGACCACTTGCTTACTTTTCTAAGCCTGCCATCTAGCGGCAACATTCTGAGAAGAATAGCACACGAGACGATCAGAAGATCTGTAACATTCCATTGGTTCGGTCATTCGAATACATTCTTCCAATAATTATGCTAAACACTCGGTCTACCTCAAACGCTATGAAGAAGGGCTATTGCCCGAAAGGACTTTTATATATTTATGTTAAGGCAGTGTTAGATCATGTATGTATGTACGCATGTCGAACTTCTTCGCACCGTACCATGACGGCCTCTAGACTCCCAACACACGCAAAGCTTTCACCCAGTTACTAGCGCGGAACATTCAACTCATCCACCACGTCCACTGCATAATGTAATGTACCTTCGCAAGAACAGATTCATACAGCTTGTCAATCATCTAGGAGTCGTAAGCATATATCAATCAACCATGTTGGACCAGTTTTACATGACGAACACGTGAGCCTCTCCAGGCATTAGACTTGTTTCGAGGTTTGCAGCAACTAAATTTCCAATACAGTCCGGGTATTCCTCGATTGACAAACGGTTTTAACGAACTTTAGCATTAACGCAATTGGCAAATTGCGGACAGTTTTCGATGAACGAAATCGAATTTCCGCGTGAATAAAATTGAACGCGGCAAACGCCATGAGATCAAACAAGAAGCACCGGGGAGGCTACGTCATCCATCCAACCCGCAACAGCGTCACGGTGTCCCTGCAGTGTCACAGTCACGCATCCACATCGCCTTTCCAGTCATTCACACATCCAGATCGTTTGGTGAGTTCCCTGAAAAGGTTAATTAATTTAGTTTTGAATTCATTATTCAATAGCTTTAATGTTTATATTCATTATATTTGTTGTGTTGTGAACAGTGATCGAGGTGTATATTTTTAAGTTAGGATTTGAGTTGGAATGACTGTCCGAAACACATCCATAATTTTTCGTATTAAATTGATGGGAAAAGTCATTCCGATTCAGAACTTTTGTTATGCGCGTGTTTTAAAAGAAATTGAGGGATACATGTGCTGTTGTCATCACCAACAGATATCCTGATTGCAGCCAATTTACAAACGTTTAATAATTTGTACAATTTCAACCAAATTAAATCCATACAGTGCCATTCATTGTTACACGACGATACGACAATAAACACGAATAACTACTGGCTCATTTTCTTAGTCTGCCTGCCATCTCGTGGCAAAATCCGGAGAAGACGTGCACGAGACTACATGAGGGCATTAAACATGGGAAGACGTCATGTCCTTGGTTGGATTCAACAACATTTCGCCACTAAGTGGCCGTGACGTTACCATGACGGCGCTTATGCCATGCTAGGTGGACTTTGAGGCCACGTAAAGTGTCGACTGCCTGCTGGCAGGAAGCCACGGGACAGACCCAGTCACCATGGGTTGACTGAGATGACTGGGCAGATGTACCATCGATGCTCCTCACTGTGGCAACTTTCTGTGTTTAGCCGCCCGACGCTCTGCTCATTGTTGATGGGGGACGACTACATCTAACTCCTCAGTAGGGTAATTCACGAACCTCTTCCACAGAGGCCGATCTTGTCACCGCTAGTACCTGTAAGTCCAATCAGCTCCACATCCTTCCGTACCACATCAGTCCATATCTTCTCTCGCCTGTGCCAGGCCCGTTTCGCCCGCTCTATCCAGCCAAATACAAGCTGCTTGAGCACGCTGTGACTGGGCATGCGGGCTCCATGAAATCAATACCCAACGCGACATGCATAGTATCATGAGTTTACAATCTACGATGTACGGTATGAAATGTTTCTACTCTTACACTGTGGCCAGCAGAGCCAACGAGCTTGTGCAAACGAGAGAGCACAAAGAGACACGAATTCCAAAGTAAAATGTAGGACATGCAAATAAGCAATTCTTAAGCAGAACAAATAATTTGGTGATACAGCGGTGGCAATGGAACTCATTACAAATAACAAACAAAACACAGTTCGTCAATAAAAGTGTCTTAAAAGGAGAACAGTAAAGAATCATTGACGTTTCAGGCAATGGCTCTTCGTCATAGCACATGAGAAGAAAAAAATGCGCATGAATGTAAGATGTAATATATTATCAATACTTGACGCTCAACAAATCTTACTCCTAAAATAGAATCACGCCCAGCAGGTAATATTTACGACAAGGGGTGTGGCTCAGCCGATCATTTTTCCGACTCTAGGGGCCTTGACCCCAAACGCGAGATGGACACTGGACGTTCGATCGCGTTTGCCTTCGTGGCGCTGGTGGTGGTTTCTGCAATTGGCTGCTTGTGGCTCATCACGTTCTCAAGGTCAGTTCGCCATTGTTGTGCGGGGGGGGGGGGGGGGGGTATCAACAGTGGTGCTTATATCTTTACTCTTTGGTTCTTTCGCTAAAGTGACGTAGGTAAAAATAAAATTAAACAAAAATGAAAACAACTAAATTAAATCACGACGTTTCGGGCACAACACAAGCGTCCGTCAAAGAGTACGGATCTTTGCAGTCACGAAAACTTCAAATCTGCTTATATCTTGTTGAAGTTAACATCGTCGTCATTCGTCTGGGTTGAGAGTCTGGATGTTGGTGATGTACATTTAGACGTTAAATTATATTAAGCTTCGTGTAGCCTGTCTCAGAGGTACCCCTAGTTGCTCGCTAAATCGGAAGGCAGTGGGGGATCAACAGTGATTGTGCTATGTAGAGATTCGTCCCCGGGATAGGAATGTGGATTTTGCGCCACGTGGCTCAGAGTTAAAAGCCGGAGCTGAGCACAAGTGCCTCAATGCGAATTCAATGATGTGATCAGTTTGAATTGTTCAAGTTCTGCTGTCACAGCAGGATAAATAAATGTTGAACACATCTTATATGACACTAGCGAACGAATTTGGGGCCTCAAGCAGCACTTACCTTGGCACCTTATCGATGCATTCACAAAGTATGAGATATATAAGTTATAAGAGATAGCGTAGAGATGACGGAATTTAAATGTATTCGGTTGAGACAGGCAAAATTCTGCATACCAAGAAATAATTTGAATGTACCAGACGTTTAAATGCGTGTTTTTTTATGAAAATGAGGCTTTAGAAGGGGGAGGTTAGGTTCGGGAAACATGGGAGAGAGCTCAAGAGAGGGACGAAGAACCACGTCTAAAAAACGAATCTCGAGGTGGGAGGGGGGGTTAGGGGAGGTCGGGTTGGGGGGGACATCCACCGGCATCCATGAGGGACGAGGGCCCATTTAATAACGAGTGCCAGGGCATTGATAAGAGGTTGGGTTCTGTATAGGGGGCCCTCTCGTGGCTGGCGGAACTCGACGCGGGCATTTGGCTGCTGGGCATATATCCGCACGCGCGACGGTAATGACAGTAATTACAATTCATATGGCGTCTACACGCATCCACTTTTCAAGACCAGACAGGTCCTGGGAGTGCCGCCGTGTGTCCGAAGGTACCGTTATCTGGATAAATGTATTCATAGGCAGATAGGAGATACAGAGTGATGAGAGATAAATATGTGTTGATGCCAGATAGAAGATATATGACAGAAATGCAATGCATATATACATTGGAACGGACTGGGAATCATGTATTTAAGTTAGAAGAGAATGCTACGTTGTTCGTCCAAAAGGTAGAGAAAATGTAGGTGTTTTTAGAAGGGAAATATATATTTAAAAAACGAGAAGTATAGTGTTTTCAGAATAGATAATAATATATATTTTTTACATATAGAACATATAGAATAGGATAGATATTCAAATGAGATGAGTGATGAATATTTTATGACAGGTAAAATATAGTTGGAGCTCCCTTTCACTGCTTGGGGCCATACATAATTGCACCATCTGCGAATTATAATTATTGCGACCGCTTACAATAAGCCAAAAATTTTTGGCAGTTGGCCTTCTTCTCTCCTCAAATAGTCAAACTGTTCTATTCCCCGTGTCTCCAACTTTCATCAGCGAAAATCAATCCTTCTTGGACGTATCCATGCTGGTGAAGATCTTCCGGAAGGAGAAACACATTCATCCCGAGGTGCTTCACACGGACATTGTCTTCCTGAAGACTCACAAAACGGCGAGCAGCACCTTCCAGAACATCCTGTTTCGCTTCGGCGAGAAGCACAACCTGACGTTCGCCTTCCCCTACATGACGTACCAATTCATCTACCCGCACGATTTCATGGCCTCGTTCGTGGCTCCTCTGCCACTGCGTGCTGCCGGTGGTCGCTTCCACATCCTGTCCAGCCATATGCGCTTTCAGAAGGATGAGGTGGCGCGTGTGATGAGTCCCATGGCCATGTACCTGTCCATTGTGCGCCGCCCAGAAAATAATTTTGAGTCCGTGTTCTATTACTATGAGAGCGTAGTATCTGCTTTTGATGCGGCAGGAAAACATAGTTATGGCAGGGACCACCTAAAGACTTTTCTTGAAAACGCTGAGACATTTTATAAATTGGAAAAGATGCCCACGGCTTTCGTCAGAAACCCCATGGCATTTGATTTTGGGCTGACTCCCAACATAAGTGTGTCGAGTGATGAATTTGCCACTGGCTTAGCAGAACTAGATGCCAAATTCGACCTGGTCATGATCACCGAGCGCTTTGACGAGTCCATGATCTTGGCCAAGGAGATGCTGGGCTGGGAGATGGAGGATGTGGTCTATCTATCCACCAACAAGCGTGCCAAGACTCATACAAATAAGTCGTTCAAGCGAAAAAACCAACATCTGACCGAGATGATCCGGCGCTGGAACGCGCTGGACGTGGCTTTGTATGAACACTTCGCACGTCGCTTTCAGCGCCAGGTGGAGGCGTTCGGAGTGGGGCGAATGCAACGCGAGGTGGACGCCCTGCGCAGGAAGGTGAGCGCCCGCAGAGAGGAGTGCGTGGCAAACGAGGTGGAGGCAGGAATGGTCAACCAGAGCGAGATTATGCCATTTATTCCGGGGTCTGTGGTTGTCCTTGGCTACAACATGAGGAGCGGCCTGAACCTTCGCACACGCGAGCGGTGTCTGCGGATGCTGCTGCCGGAGCTCAAGTACCACACGCGGCTCTTTCAGCGGCAGTACGGCTCCACGGTGGAGGAATACAACGTGGGAGCAAAATTATCCACAACAAATGAAACACGTTGACTTGGCGATTTGCTCTATTTTTTGGTGATGGAGATATGGTGTGTTGTTTAGCAAAAAAATGTCATGTATACACTCACTGATATGAAAATGAGTATACTGTAAATAAAGTACTGTATAGGGTAAAAAATATTCCACACCTATAAATATAAACCCATGGGTAACACAGCTTAGGTCGATTTTATGAACACTTTCTCATTAAGGTTGAAAGCATCAAAGCACTAGCTCTGTCAGTCTGCCTATATTTTTGGGGGTGGGGGGTCACAACTCTCATAAAGATGACCTTATGTCAATAAGGTATTTTAAAATATATATCAACTAAGGATTTACCCTTAAGACAACTGGGAAGATATATCAAAGGGTTGTCCAAAACAAAGCGAAATAAACCATTATTTGGTGGTGGTGGCACACACCTGTGATCCAGCACTGTGGAGGCAGCTAGAGTCATAATGACTTGGTGTGCCTGGATATTAAAACAAGTATCACGTATGATGCCATCTCATTACGTGTGACGTAATCTCATTCGTAATTTACTTTCCAAAACTCTTTAAACCTCGCTCAGATCATGGAAGGTTGTTGTGGGTTCACTTTCCAACACACCGGTGTGCTGAACTGGTAATGAATTGGCACGTTTTGTTTCCGTGACAGACCTTACTCATTGCTGTGTCGCGTGGTGGCGGATTTAATGACGCATTTATATTTACGCGATCTAACACAAAGAAAAACTCTATCACGGATCATGGAAGGTGTTAACGCTTATTTATTACATTGCTAGTGCTGTTTGTTGCTGGCTATCTTGATGTTTTGGGCCTTTCTTAGGCCGCCACATACCTGCAAATCCCACTCCTTTGGGCTAAACAGCAGGGCAGCGAGCCCACAGCACCGCTTATGGGGAGTGTTGAACAATGCCCCCCCCCCCCCGCCACCAGCAGAGGCTTGAGGTGGATCTCCGTCACTGACTGCCACCAGCTGTCGCCAGCACGCCGACTCTCCCGCCGGAACGGGAAGATGTGGGAGCCCCGCACATGGCCAGCATGACCCTCCACAGCCCGTTGTGGGACACGGGGTCCTCGTGGAAAGCCGGGCAACACGCACAAATAGCACAGCACGGTTAGCGGATCGGCAAGTCGCACGTGGCGGAATAACGACGACTGGGTACTCTCACCCCTTCCAACACGTCTGGTCAGTGTGGAAGAGTAGACCGGACACCCTCTAGAGATGCCTTTATTGGAGCCCATTCTGCCAGCAGTGGTGTGGGAAAGCAATTTAATGGGTGTATACCTTGACCCTTCATAGCGATACACGATGTCCATTTTATGAAGGATGTTGCCGATTAATGCAAACGGTCGGAGATATGGGCAAAGATGGCGAACCCTACACTTGAAGTTGAACACGGAGGTTTTCGCGAACCCGTCACCACCCGACACAGCAAATTAGTAAGGTTTGCCAGGGGTAAAAAACGTGCCAATTAGTTACTACTTCAGCACACCGGTGTGTTGGAGAGTAAACCCACAACACTTAGTTTAGATCGATATCATTTTCTCACATTTTTCTCACCGAGTTTATGTACGGTGATTTAATTTTAATACAAAACAAGATAAGTTCAAACTATTAATGGTATTCAATTGCAGTTAATTCCTCAAGATAAACCTGCCATTAGTCTTTTAATCATTGTAACTATGCGTACTATAGTTATCATGATGCACCTGCTGTCAGTTAAACATTAATTGCATTTTACGATGACCTTCAGACCGCAGCTCTTTCGCCAGCATTGACTCTTAATACCTCTCACACCACGGTTAATGGTATGGTTTACAACATGGAGTATAACAGCGCCTCGCAGCTGTCTCTCTCCCCCTCCTCTGTTCCGACCATGGACGAACTCGTCCGTCTGAACGGGGCCCGTAGCTATCCGTGGTGCTAAAGTTGAGGGTAAGAATCCACCCATTTTTTCACCATATAGCATTGTGATATATAACGACTTATTGTTGGTAGCTTAGCTGATTGGAGAATATATAGAGTTTATTGATAACGTTGAGGTAATTCATATTTTATTTTTTTATTGGTTCACTATATAGTATTCATTAAATATTGTAGTGTATACCCGGTTACTGTGAATAGCTCAGATGTGTAGGCTTTGACTTCAACATAGCCAATTCTGTGACCAGTCACAAGCTAATCACTCAGTTATTTCAATGCTAAATTCTCCTAGTTATTTCAATGCTAAATTCTCCTGTTTGATTTGTACTAGGTGCCTCTGTGAATGTGTATGCTCTGACTTTAACATAGCTATTTCTGTGACCAGTCACAAGCTAATCACTCAGCTATTTCAATGCTAAATTCTATGCTAATTCCTTTGTCAAGGAGTGCCTCTGCAGATGTGTATGTTTTAACTTTAACATAGCCATTTCTGTGACCAGTCACAAGCTAATCACTCAGCTATTTCAATGCTAAATTCTATGCTAATTCCTTTGTCAAGGCGCTTTGTTTCTTCTCACACAGCTTAAAGGTCGCGATCTGAGCGTGGCTTTTTCGCTCCAGCGCTGTCCTCCAGACAGTCTCGTCCCTTCACCTGATGAAGGCCGCTTGTGTTGTGGCCGAAACGTCGTGAGAATTTTATTGTGTTATTTTATTTTATCAATTTATTATTTTATTCTCATTCTACGTGACTTTACCGAAAGAACCAAAGAAGATGAATCCTTGCAGTCACGAAAGCTTTAAATCGAAAGTTAAACATTGATTAATCAATTAAGTAATACAATTAATAAAGACAATGATGACATCCTACCACCAATCATGCTGTCAGTTACCCTGAAAAATATGTACAAAGTACACATTTCATGGGGATAAAAGCTTTCTTGTAACTTCCATTGTGAATTGTAAATAGTATTATTTTGTCTTGAAAATTTTATATTTCGGGGAAAAAAAAGCTAGCAACGATGTGGCGTTGTATTTTTTTCTTTTTAAACGGACGAAATAATTATTGTAGATCTTATATCGCAAGCCAACTTGAACCCAGGCAGGTGTCTCGAGGGTTGTCAAGCCCCAGCCTGCTTGCGAGTTGTTGGATCAAACAGTTTGAAACGCAACGCCCACCGCGCACTCTCCGGATCTCCCCCATCACAAGACAGCTTCTCTAAAAAGGTTGTATCGCAACTGCCCCTGGCTACGGTAGAAAATAGCCTCTATTAACAAACTCTTAAAGTTCAGCTTTTATCGCTTTTATCAGTCCAGTTGAATCTCTCGTTCGTGCGTTTGTTCCAGATATGTTGCACTGTTTAAAGTGTATGTTGATGAAAATAAAAGAATGACTTTCTAAAATAAGTTTTTCATTTATGTTTTTTGGATCTCTCATCGCCGATATCTGGCCTCAGGTTTTCTTGTCAGCTTCCATTTCCTGCCTCTCACATAGGGAATGGAAAAATAAAATACAAAGTAAAATCTGAATACACCGGTTGGTCCGTCCGATAGCATTAGGGGCTAGGAAATGTTAACTACCTCGCCTAGTATACAAGGAGGGTCGTGGATTCGATCCCGACCATGACGCCTGTATATTTGGACTTAGAATTTTATCCTCGTCGTCACGTGGATTTTTCTCCTGGTCCTTCGGGTTTGCCCTCCTCATTTAGAAACGTGCCTTTAGAGTATTTGGGTGCGATACATTTCCACATGATAAGCCACTTGTACGGTGATTTAATTTTAATACAAAACAAGGTAAGTTCAAACTATTAATGGTATTCAATTGCAGTTAATTCCTCAAGATAAACCTGCCATTAGTCTTCTAATCATTGTAACTATGCGTACTATAGTTATCATGATGCACCTGCTGTCAGTTAAACATTGATTAATCAATTAAGTAATACAATTAATGAAGACAATTATGACATCCTACCACCAATCATGCTGCCAGTTACCCTGAAAAATATGTACAAAGTACACATTTCATGGGGATAAAAGTTTTCTTGTAACTTCCATTGTGAATTGTGAATATTGTTATTTTGTCTTGAAAATTTTATATTTCAGGGAAAAAAAAGCTAGCAACGATGTGGCATTGTATTTTTTTCTTTTTAAACGGATGAAATAATTATTGTAGATCTTATATCGCAAGCCAACTTGAACCCAGGCAGGTGTCTCGAGGGTTGTCAAGCCTCAGCCTGCTTGCGAGTTGTTGGATCAAACAGTTTGAAACGCAACGCCCACCGCGCACTCTCCGGATCTCCCCCATCACAAGACAGCTTCTCTAAAAAGGTTGTATCGCAACTGCCTCTGGCTACGGTAGAAAATAGCCTCTTTAACAAACTGTTAAAGTTCAGCTTTTATCGCTTTTATCAGTCCAGTTGAATATCTCGTTCGTGCGTTTGTTCCAGATATGTTGCACTGTTTAAAGTGTATGTTGATGAAAATAAAACAATGGCTTTCTAAAATAAGTTTATCATTTATGTTTTTTGGATATCTATTGCCGATATCTGGCCTCAGGTTTTCTTGTCAGCTTCCATTTCCTGCCTCTCACATAGGGAATGGAAAAATAAAATACAAAGTAAAACTTGAATACACTGGTTGGTCCCTCCGATAGCATTAGGGGCTAGGAAATGTTAACTACCTCGCCTAGTATACAAGGAGGTGGTGGATTCGATCCCGACCATGACGCCTGTATATTTGGACTTAGAATTTTATCCTCGTCGTCACGTGGATTTTTCTCCTGGTCCTTCGGGTTTCCTCTCCTCATTTAGAAACGTGCCTTTAGAGTATTTGGCTGCGATACATTTCCACATGATAAGCCACTTTATTGTGGTATCATTTGTGGACAGGTCACGTCTGACAAAGAGCTATACAACTCAGTGGGCCTTACCTGCTAAAATAAAAAAAATTTAATAGTTTAGTTTAGAACAGCTGGTGTGTTCCTCTTGACGTTTTCTTTTTCGATATTGTATATTTACAAAAAATAGAGATGAAATATCGGAAGTATCTTAGCTTTTTTGCTGTGGAAAAGAACCGCTTTCTTCAGCCCTTTCCAAACGGCGTTGACAGAACGGTTGGCTACGTACGGTGCGAAATAATTTCAACATACATACAGTTGCATTTACTGTCGGTATGCTTAAAGGTAATTTTCTGTAAATTACACGTAGGTTTGATGTTGGATAAGTGTTGACCCTAAAACAGAAACCTTGTGCCTGAGTATTTTTTCGATTATATTTTTGAATTATATCCTTGAAATCGGAATCAGAAGTTTATGTCCCGAGTAAAGCCCATTGAGCTAAAAAGTTATTTTTGGAGGGCGACTCGACTTGCAGACAACCTGTCTGGGGTACAGCGGTGGTGTGGTGATTAGCGTGCTGTGCCATGAATCCATCTACCCGAGTTTGATTTCCGACCACAGCTAAAATCAGGGGGCAAACTCTATCGAACTGGTCAATACTCACCCCAATCATCAACTAGCATTGACCAGCGTGGTGTAGTATGATCATAAACCCACCATGAACGACATGGCATGGGGAGGCCTTAATCCATTGCTGGATTGAGAAGGGTGGCATGGGATAGATCAAAGGCCAAGTCTAAAATTCCTGTGTTTGATCCTTTGTTTTGTGTCCAGCAGTTAATTACAAATGTGCATCGAGCAAAATACGATGTGCAATGTAACTATCAATAGTCATGCTGTCCCTGCTAAATACGTATTGGGATGGTGTTAACCGTCATCATTGGTGGCTCAAAACACGGTAGGACCAACACCTCGGCCGTGGCAGATCATTGTTATAATTCAGTAGGCTCACATGACATTGACTTTTCCAAGACAGAGGTTCTTTGTAAGCCATCTGGCTACCATGAGAGATTCGTTCATGAGGCTATCCACATATACAAGCACAGAGACAATTTCAACCGAGAAGATGGATTCTGGCTTAGCAATCATTGGAAAGATTTGATAAACCATTTCAGGTCTTAATTGATTGTTCACGCTTACAGTGGCTTTCAGACAGCATACATTAATTTTTCGTCTCCCCCCTCCTCTTTTCAGAACATAGATGGACTAGTCCTTCTAAATAAACTGACAAATCGCTGCGCGTGGCGCTGACGGTTTTTATAAATAAATAAATACACCGTTTCAAAATAAATAAATTTATGCAAACCGACACACCTGATGACGACCGTTTGTGTTATGGTCGAAACGTCGTGAGATTTTTTTTATTGTTTTATATATTTTATTATTTTATTGTTTCCCTTCAACGTGACTTTACCGAAAGAGCTAAGTATATGAATTACTGCAGTCACAAAAGCTTTAAATCAAAATTTACAATGCCATATAGTATAAGAGCATGTTTTGTTTGCAAGTTCACCACAAGTACATGTGGTTAATGCAAACATGATTCCTTTGGTGTTTGAACATTTTAACACTTGTTTTATTGCCAAAAAGGGTAAAGCCTATTCTCAGTTTTCATATGTATGTTGTATTAATGTACCTGTGT